CTAACCAAGCAAGTGCAGGCCATAGCGGGCATGATGCAGACACTCATTCCGCTCATTCCTCATATCATGCGGCTAGTGGCTCCCCCGACTGACCCGACCCGGCAGAGGCCGAGTGAGGAGCAGGTCGGGACAGGAGAAGCCCGAGAGCAAACGACGGACCCGAGAGGTCCGCCCGAGTAGAGCATACCCGCACCCAATCAAATCGCACCACCCCACTCCGAACCTGACACCGTATCATCTGACTCGGCAGACAGCTCACTTCGAACCTAGTTGTCCCGAGTCAACCAACGCTTGGACGAGTTCCTACGCAAGTTTCAAAAATCGCGGAGTGAGTCCAGTGAAGGCAACTCAGGAGGATCCTCCTTTACTAAGGAAGTACAGGATAAGCTGGTGTCCCTCAACTTCAGGCTACTGGCATTGGAGACATACGATGGCGGCTCCGATCCCACGGAGCACGTCTTCGCATTCCAGGCTTAGATAACCCTCTACGACACCCCTAACGCATTGATGTGTCGGGCATTTCCAACTACCCTGAGGTGACTAGCACGAGCATGGTTCTGCCGGCTACGCCAATCCTCAGTCTCATCCTTAGACCAGCTTGCTAGGGAGTTTGAGCAGAAATTCCTCGCCAGCGTGCGGCCTAGGCCCTCCATGGCCACCCTGCTCGCGCTATCTCAATGCGAAGATGAGTCACTCTCCCAGTTCGTGGCACGTTTTGCCACTGAAATCCAAGGATTCCTGGATGCTCACCCCTCGTTAATCATGCAGGTGTTTCTGATGGGTTTGAAGCCTTCGAGGTTCTTCTGGCCGCTGATCAAGAAGCCGCCAGTAACCGTCTCTGAAATGCTCTAGCGTGCCAACCAGTATGTCGCCGCGGAAGAGTTGGTGGCAGGGAAGCACACAGACAGCAAGAGGCCAAGGGCAGAACAATCCCAGGGAGCGACCTCAGTAGCCCTGGTGCAACTCTGCCGGAGGCCCGACCGACAAGAGTTACTACTACTGAGGCCCCCGTCTCTTCCCCTGAATATGTCTCGTACCGAGATCTTTCTCCAAGTTAGGGAGAAGGGTCTCTTGCGATGCCCCCATCCCATGAGAGCCACTCACAAAGATCGATCCAAATATTGCAGGTTCCACCGAGACTATGACCATGACACAGAGGACTGCCACGACCTCCGGAATCAAATCGAGGAACTAATCCAGAAAGGTCACCTTGGGCCCTATCTCGAGGAACCCCGGGAAGAGACTCCACACCCCAGGGGACCTGTTGAAAGGCAAATCAATGTCATCTCCGGAGGACCAGCAGCCAACGGTAGCATTTCTACAACAAGGAAGGCCTACTCCCGCAGCACGGTCGAGAAATGTCCCCAACCCGAGCTCGAGCCTGAAATCACTTTCAGGGCCGGAGAAGTCGAGCGCTCCCACCATGACGATGCTCTAGTGATCTCCATTCGGATTGTCAACGCTCGAGTCAAAAGGGTGATGGTTGACACCGAGAGTTCCACCGACGTCCTGTACCTCGACACCTTCAGGAGGCTCGGATTGACTAAGGAAGACCTCACCCCCATGGCGTCAGCACTCACTAGGTTCACGAGGGATTCTATCTCCCCGCTCGGAACCACCATCCTCCCTATCACCATCGGGGAAGAGCCGAGAGCGAAGACAATGATTACCACCTTCATGGTAGTCGACCTACCCTCGGCCTACAATGTCATCCTCGGCCGACCGATGCTCAACAAATTAAAGGCGGTGGTCTCCACCTACCACAGGGTCGTCAAGTTCCCGACCCCGGCAGGAATCGAGGAGTCCCGAAGTGACCCGGGAGAGTCATGACGATGCTACCTCGCGGCGGTTACCCTCCCGGGAAAATCACGCCCAAACCAGAGCCCTGACCCCCGCGAGGGGCCTGTAGCGCCGATACCGCTGGAGCCTCCTGAGCAACTCACCAAGGTGCCCCTGAAAAGGAGCCAACTCGATCGGACCATCAAGGTCGGGACAACCCTCCCCGAAGAAGATCAGCTCCACCTCATCGACTTCCTGAGGTAAAACACTGACATATTCGCATGGTCCCCTGAGGAGATGCCTGGGATTGACCAGAAGTGGCCCAGCACCGGCTCAACATCGACCCTGAGGCTCGGCCGGTGAGACAAAAACCAAGGAAGTTCGCACCAGATCGACAAAAGGCGATCAGCGAGGAGGTCGGCCGCCTTAAGAGAGCCGGATTCATTACTGATGTTCAATACCCTCGGTGGCTATCGAATGAAGTCCTTATTAAGAAGTCCAATGGAAGCTGGAGGATATGTCTTGATTACACCGATCTCAATCAGGCATGCCCTAAAGATTGCTATCTACTTCCCAAGATAGATCAATTAGACGACGCCACCATAGGACATGAACTCCTCGCATTCATGGACGCATTCTCAGGCTACAACCAAATTCAGATGGTGACTCAGGATCGGGAGAGCACTGCCTTCATCACCAATAGAGGGGCGTATTGCTACAAAGTAATGCCCTTCGTCCTGAAAAATGCTGGAGCGACTTACCAAAGTATGGTCGAAAAACTCTTCAAGCACCAACTAGGGAAGAACATGGAAGGATACGTGGACGACATGATCATGAAGAGCAAGGCCGCAAGCACGCACTTGACTGACCTAGCGGAAACGTTCTAAATGCTCAAGCAGTTCAATATGCGTCTGAACCCTGCGAAGTGTGTCTTCGGGGTCGGCTCGGGGAAGTTCCTCAGCTTTATCATTCACCAAAGGGGAATAGATGCCAACCCAAAAAAGGTGCGGGCCATAACCGAGATGTGCTCCCCCCACTCGGTCAACGAGGTGCAGCGACTCGTCGGGAAGTTAGCAACCCTCAGCAGGTTCGTGTCGTGCTCAAGCGACAAGTGACTCCCTTTTTCCCGGGCTCTGTAATGAGCCGACGACTTTGCATGGACCTCAGAGTGCGAGGAAGCCTTCGAAAGCTTGAAGACGTGCCTCGCCCGCTTGCCCCGACTCGCCTCGCCCGAGGCGGGCGAAACCCTCATACTCTACTTGGCGGCCTCGGCGCAAGCGGTCAGCTCAGTGTTAGTTTGGGAGATACCCCCAACGCAGCAACCCATATATTACATCAGCCATATTCTCGTCAGGCCCGAGGCATGGTACTCCCTGATCGAGAAGCTAACCCTCACTCTGACAAAGATGACCCAAAAGTTGCAGCCCTACTTCCAAGCCCACACAATCAAAGTAATCACCGACCAGCCGCTACAACAGATCCTTTCCAACTTCGACGCATCAGGTCACATTCTACAATGGTCGATCGAGCTTAGTGAATTCGGCATTCAGTACTCCCCCAGCACTGCCGTTAAAGCTCAGGTACTGGTTGACTTTATTTCTGAGCTATCTCTTGAAGACCATGCTGTGGGGCAGGGGAACAATAAGAACGCATGGACCTTGTACGTGGATCGTCCACCACCGGATCGGCCGGGGTCGGCTTATCCTCACGGGCCCGTCAGAAGAAACCTATGAGAGATCGCTCCAGTTGCAATTCCGAGCCACGAACAACGAGGCCGAGTACGAGGCGCTACTTCATGGCCTGCGCCTCGCTCTGGAGATGCATATTGACAACCTCAAAGTCTTCAGTGACTCCCAGCTGGTGTCGGGACACTTCAATGGGAGCTGCGAAGCCCGGGACCCAACGATGGCATCGTACCTAGTGGAGGCAAAGCGGCTCGCCCACCACTTCAACCGCATCTCAATCGCTAGAATACCTCGGGCACAAAATACGCAGGCCGACGCGCTAGCCAGATCAGCCTCCACCCACAGCCTAGCATCAGCTCCAACGACTGAGTCTGTGACGGCTCCGACGGTGACCACTCTCGGGGTCGCCACAACAGACATACCATTGAGCTGGATGGAGGAGATCCTCTGCTTCAAGAAGGACGGAAAGGAGCCCGATGACCCAACGACCACGAGACGGTTAAGATGAACACAAGCCTATTACTGCATAGTCGGCGGAAGGCTGTACCGAAGGGCCTTCTCCCAACCTCTCTTATGCTACCTTGTGCCAACGGAAGCTGAGACGGTCCTCACCGAGCTCCATGAAGGGATCTATAGGGAGCACGTCGAGGGACAAACCTTGGCCTTCAAGACTCTCCGGCAAGGGTACTACTGGCCGACCATGTGCCGGGGCGCCATGTCATATGTGCAGCAATGCCAATAGTGCCAAAGGCATGCCCGATTGCAACACTAGCTAGCGATTCCTCTCTCCCCGATGGATGCAACCTAGCCTTTCGCCCAATGGGGACTCAATCTCCTTCGACCTTTTCCTCCAACATTGGGGTAGCAGCGCTTTCTTATAATCGGGGTCAACTACTTCACGAAGTGGGTTGAGGTCGAGCCCTTGGCTTCCATTACCGAGAAGCAGATCTGAAGCTTCACATGGAAGAATATCATCACCTGGTTCGGGATCCCAAAGGCTATCATCACCGACAACATAGCTCAATTCAACAATGCTAACTTCAATGCCTATTGCCAGTCATATGGGATCCAACTGTGGTTTAGCTCAATTGCGCACCCCCAAACCAACGGCCAGACCGAAGTGATGAATCAAGCAATTCTAGAAGGTCTCAAGAGGAGGATCTCGGTTGCCACTGTCGGCCTTGAGGGTCGACCACCGAGTGGTGTAGGGGGCTCCCGGCTCCCCGGTCAGAAGATCGGCCATATTCAGGGCCTAGTTCTGCTCACCATTGGCCCAGGAGTAGACGCGACACAGCTCCCGTATCGGCATCGGGCGCGTCGGCTCCCTCTTGGAAGGGTCACTACCGGACAACCCGGCCGACCCCTTCCCCTTCATGCTCCCTGAGCCCTCACCCTGAGGAGTGGCCCCCAGTAATTCTAGGATGGCGCTCGAGTAAGTGGCCGAGCCCATAGGCGTCTTCCGAGCCACAGTCTTCATCTTCTTCGGAGGGCGCCCCGCTGCCGAAGATGCCGACACCCTCTTCAGTGTGCCCTCCAGCAGGGAAACCCCACCTCCAGAACCCTCCCCGTCCCGAGATGGGGGCTCGGCGATCTTGACGCTGGCGTCTTCTTCACTGATCGTAGGTCCACCATTTCTACAAAAAATAGCAGCGGTCAGATGGTTCAGGACAAGAGAACAAGACATCATATGCGAATGGCCATACCCACGGTGGCGGGGCTCAGCTCTACTTTGACCATCCACTCCTCGACCATCTCCTTAATTACCCGAGAAGAGGACAGGGTACCCCTCAATCAATCCACGACTACCGTTTCTCCGTCAGAGAGTAACGGAGGGGCGTTGTCGATGGTCCGGAAGGCCCACCCAGTGTTGAAGCCCCATTCTATACTACAACTGACAAAGAAGAAACACTTCTTACAACCTTTGTTGTTGGAAGGTGCACCGTTGATCTTGAAACCGCCATGGGCGGTCAGGTAATACCTGCCTTGCCCCCTGCATAGGCGAAAGCAGGCCAATAAGAGGGCACGGGATGGCTCGATCCTAGCCCCCCGACACTCCTAGATGAAGGCCACCAAGTAGCGCCACGAGTTTGGCGACACTAGGGATGGCGAGATCCCTTAAAAGCAAAGACAGTCCCTGATGACGGGGTGCATCGAGAACCACAACCCCACCTCAAGCGCCCCCATGGTCAACTCGAACCCGTCGGGAAACCAATCATACGGCCGCTGCCCAGGCTGAGGGGCGTGCAAGCCGTAACACTTTAGGATGCAGTAGAGATCCTGGAGCACTCTCGAAAGGTCCTCGGTCACCACCAAGTCCACGTCATGCCACGACTTGAGAGCCTCAAGGGTAGTAGAGCTCCCTGAGGCCTTCGAGGAGGCACTACCCGAAGACACACTGACCACTTCGTCCTGTGGACTCCTAGAAGAAGGAGAAGGAGAAGGAGATAGGGATGAAGATGAAGACGAAGATGAAGACGGAGACATCCCGACCTCAAAGTTGCAAGAAAGAAGTCGGGGACGAAGGACTTGAGCAAAGATGATGGCGGAGTTGCAAGAAAGAAGCCAAGGTGCGGGACGGAGGACAGATGGCAAGGGTGATGGCAACCGCTCTGGGTGGGGTTTATAAAAGGCGGGTTGCCCACTATGAGGTGGCGATTGGGGCTCCCCGAGGAGAGAAACAGTCGCAGCATTTAAGACCCATCATGACCTCTCGGATCTGCTAGATTCACCCGCCTCGGAGCTCCCGCCAAAGGCATCCCGTCGCCCGAGACCCCCCGCCGAAGGCCATTCAAAACAAAAGTTTCCCGCCAGGCCCCGTGACGCTCCGCTTGGCCCGCCACATGGCACGACAACGTCCAGGCATCCAGGCATGAATCAGTGTCCAAGCCCGGGTTGCTCCATCTCACTCTCGATTTACGACCCGTCGGTCCTAGAACCTGAGCTCGAGCATAGTAACTCGACCAATAGGTCCAACTCAGGCCCGGGTCACTCCAGTTCGCTCTCAACTTCCGACCCGCCGACCCCAGAACCTGAGCCCGAGCATAGTCACTCGGCCAACATGTCCAACTCAGGCTCGGGTCGCTCCAACTCGCTCTCGACTTGCGACCCGCCGGCCCCAAAACCTATGCCCGAGCATAGTCACTTGGCCAACAGGTCCAACTCAAGCCCGGGTCGCTCTAGTTCGCTCTCGACTCTCGACCCGCCAGCCCTAGAACCGAAGCCTGAGTATAGTCACTTAGCCCACAATACCAATCCGACGCCCAAGCCATGCCTCGCGGCCTGTCCAAATGCCCGAGTCGCATCTCGGCCAATCTGACTCCCGAGCCACACCTCGCTAGACTAAACCATTAACCGAGTCGCTCCACATCGATAACCGAGTCACTCCACATCGATCTCTGACTTACGACTCATCAAATCTCTAACCAAGTCGCTCCACGTCGATCTTCGACTTGCAACTCACTGGTCGTAACTCCGTGCCATGCCAAAACCAGTTATCTGACCTACGACATGTCGGTCTCGCCAGCCGTAACTCCGAGCCACGCCAAAACTAGTTATCCGACCTACGACGCGTCAATCTCATCGCATCTGATCCCAACCGCCTGATCAACGGAGTCTACCCTCCTCGAGGCGCGGGGCACTACCCCTCCAAACCATCCCACGACGAGCCAATCTAGCTTCCCCTCACAAGCAACAAACACAATCGCATCACTCTGACTCAGGCATGCCTCCTGACCCATTAGGGACCCCGCGGCACGCCTTGGAGGGGGGGAGAGAAGTGATAAGGTATATTTTGGGCCCCCAACAAGTCACCGCCTATGTCACACGCCAAGTCACAGCCGATGTCAAAATCCGATGTCACACGCCGTTAGAATCCGATGTCGCACGCCAAGTCGGGATCCGTACCGAGACACTGTGTGACACGACTCATCCCGAGAGCTCGGGGTGATGCCGTCTGATGCTACTCCGACATTCTCCAAGACGCCAGCTGATCTGAAATGTTGTCCCATCCCACAAGGGTCAGCGGCCATACCGAACCGACGCACAACCGACCGTTGCACAATGGTATAAGAACCTCTGGCTGGCATCCGGCCAGGAGGGGAGAAAAAAAGGAGCTAATTTAATCCTCTACTGACTTGCTTGTCGGAGGGGCCAAAGTTGGGGATCACGTGACGAGGGCCATTTTTCCAGGCGAACGACCACCT